TATATATATATATATATATATATATATATATATATACATACACACACACTGTAAAATAGTGCCTGCTGGCCATAGCACACATCTGCAACACGTGTGTCTCCAGCCTTGCCAGAGCCCTGCTTCACCTAGGGCTGGGCATCAGAACACATCTTCCTGCCCAGTATTCCCTCTTTTAAATAATTAGCCCAGGTTCTTTATGTGAACTTCTTATAGTAGTAATTTTTATATGATTTATCAAACTATTAAGGCCATTCACTTTTTGTTGTCTATATCTGTTGTAGATATAATTCACACTACTTGTTTGTATTTGAAGAGTGTATATACTCAAAACTTGATTGTTTTCTAATTATTCGTCTTGTATTGTCTGTTTATTTCTTTTGGCTGTATGTCTCCTAATTCTTATTCTGTATCTAATAATTGTTAAATATTTTGTGCATTTTTTGATTAAAAATGTTTCTTTGAGTCTATTAATGTCTAACTTTTTTCTAAATTATTGATAGCTGTCTCAGCTATTCTTATGAGTAAACACAGAAATTATGTTAAATTCCAGATCCTGCTTGGGCTTTGAATTGAATTGTGATAAATTATAAATTCATTTCAGAAAAATTGATGATTTGGTAATCTTCTAAGTCAGTGGTTTAATTTTTTTCACATACATTATACACATTTTTGTTATAGGCTCACTTATGTTTATGTGTATATATCTTACTTCTAGTGTAAAAGAAATCTTACATATTTAATGCCGTGAATTAATTATTGATTTTATGTATTTATATGACAACCAATCAATTCATAGAATTTGTGTATATAGTTTCTTAGTTTATCCTCTTGGGTTTTCTAAATCTAATAATCATATACCTACAAGATAAATTTTGCAATGATTAGACTATTTATTTATATTAAATGGCAGTCCCTCCACTTCTGAAGATGAGTGGATTTTACCTTTCACTCCTTTTATTCTCATTAAATAAAGGTTATGATCATGATGATCATAATGTATGTAATTTATTCCTTCAGTTGGGTTGGCCCAGCCATATGGAAGATTACCACTACCTTAAAGTTGCTGGTAGTCATTGTTGTCATTAGCAACCGGTGAGCATTGCTCTCCATTTCCAACGTCGTCATCAGATTTGCTGCATTGTGATTAACCCTTGCAGCAGATGGAAAAGAATGGCGTCTGATGGTTTTGTGTGTGTGTGCATTTATGACGTCACTTTAAAGTCTTACCTTTTCTGAGAGGAAACTAAAACCAATTTTTTATGTGGAGGAAACCAAAAAAAGAGAGTTTTTTAATGTCCTATGTTTCTGGGTGAAAAGCCATATACTTTTCTGGTAGTAAGAAATGACCAAGGTAGAATTAATAAAGCTACCATTTTCTGTTGCGTAGCAGAAGAAGGGTGTTGAATTTTCTATCAGGGTCCTTTGTCTTTATTTTAACAATAATAGCTGGAAATTATTCCAAGGTGTCAGACATTGCTGTGTGGGCTATAAGTGTATTAACTCATTTTTTCTTCATAGTAAGTGTGAGGAGGGACGGTACCACCCACTTCTATAGATGAGAATACAGGCAGTCAGAATAACAAGTCTTTATTTTTTGAAAATACTATTTTGTTAACACCACAGTGGTAAACAACTTTTATGTTTGTGTTTCTTTACAGAACATTGGTTCACAGATAATTCAAAACCCACAAAGAAGCTAAAGGCCTTTACATTAAATGTCTTTTCCCAAAAGTCCTTCCTGTATGCCATTCTGTCCTCAAGCAATAAAATTTGATTATGCACCATTTAATATATCACATTTACATAGCAAAATAATGAAGGCACAGCTAATACAAGCAAACTTAAACCCTTTCTATTTCTGAGCTGGGGATGGGATACACACTTGGATTGACTCTTCAAGTATATATTTTTCCCAAACATTAGCTTCATTGAGTTCTGATGGTTTCACAGCTACTTGCTAAAAGCTACAAGACAAAAAGACTTCACAAAAGGTCAAACTGCGTAACACTGGACACACATGCTTTACAGAATTGCTACATTCTACATCTCTTCAAGTAAATTATATTTCTAAAATGCTATTAAGGTGATTTAATACTTAAAACATTTGGGGTAACTTTTACGATTTTGTAAACAAACACTGCCAAGAAAACAGATAACATGAGACCATAACAAATGAACACGTGTTGACAATATTGTACATGTAATACACCCTCTTTTTTGGAACCATATTCTTTCTGTAATTTCAAATATTCAAAACGTTTTCCCAACTTGAAATGGCAGTTTCCCTAGCCTCAGAAACAGTCTCATGATGTCAGTCCATACTTCCTCCATGCCAAGTCTCCTCTGGAATGTAAAGCTGATGTCTGGGTTTGCAAAAGCAAAGTCTTAAAGATGACGTCGTTCTTGGGTTCCTTTTTCTCTGCTCTGGAAATGTAAAGAAACTGAAGAATTAAGCATTGAGAAGAGTTCAGTCTAAGCTTGGGTGGTCAGGTGTGGTGTGATGAATGGATTTCAACGTGTGACGCACTTTAGCTCACATCTAACTGACAACCGTTCATCAGTCTCAAGTCCAGTTTTCACAGAAGAGCAAGGAGAAAAAAAATAAGGGTAATTAGGCTTTTTTTTAAAAAACGTCTTTTGGCATCTGTTTTACACAAGTAAAAGTCAGATTAAAAACGGGCTAGCCAGAATCTGCTTGATTAAATTTAATTTTAGGAATGTCAGAATAGATTCACATTGTATTTTGGGCAAAACCTGAGCCTTTTAAAGTCTGCCGACATCGGAAATAAAAGGGGCAAGGGGGTGGTCACCTGTCAGCTGCTGTGCTCACTTCTTGGCGGAGTCAGGACCCCCAGTTGCGCCTGCCGCAGCCTCCTCTTCCTCCTCCTCGTCGTCGTCATCTTCATCATCATCATCATCATCTTCTCCCTCCAGGGTCCACGCGCAGCCCTCCATCTCTCCGGTAAGCTCCTGGATCTTGGCGAGTAGGGGCTTGTAGATGTCGTTGTACTTTTTCTCCAGAGCCTGGAATTCCTTGTCAAATTTGGCCTCTATCTTATCGCAGCGCTTCTGCAGCTTTTTGAGCGCCAGAACCCGGCACTTGACAGAATTGGGCAGGCTCTCGATAAACTCATTTTTGGGCTTGGGCGCATTCTCCGCGGGAGCCTGTGGCTCCTCAGCCGCGGGTGCAGCGGCACCGTCACCGGCTGCGGCATCCTCGCCACCCTGGGCGCCCTCCATTACCTCGTCTTCGGCACGGCTCTCAGCGGGTCCCTGCTTCTCGGGGTCGGCCATGGCTAGTGCTCGGCTCGGCTGGGCTTGTTTGCCGCAGTGGTCTGGTAGTTGCGCAGTCTGCGACAGAGCTGGTCCAGGAAGGTCCTGCAGCTGTGACTGCGGCTGGTGAGAGTGAGTCTGAGGATGCGGCAAACACTGACGGCTGTGGTGCTGTGGTGACGTCTGCGCGGCCGCTTCGCGACTCGCGGCAAGTGAATGGCTGCTCACTATCAGCTGATGGTTGTGCGCACAAACTGCACCAGATTGTTGCTATGCTGCTATCTCCAAGGTCTCCAAAACCTGCCGCTTAGACACTCAGCCCCCAGCACCTGCCCCCACCCCTGTAGAACTAGCTAGAAGCAGCTCGAGGCTGAGACTGTAATTTTCCATACCTGTTTACACAGCTCCAGTCTGTTTACTGCGTGCTCCCCCTCCCATCTCAACTCTCTAAATCCGCAATGCACCTGTCAGCTTGTGTCGGAAGTGCGCCATAGCAGATGCTGTTCAGCCTTGGTTATGGGTACCTTCCTTTCCAAATCTTGATTGCGTCTTAAATTCACTTCCAGAGAACAGAAATGCGGCTGAACTATTTCCTCCTACTCCTTTGCAGACCATCTTGGGCTAGTAGTACAGGCAGACATCTCTGTTACACCTAGTTACATATATCCTGGTGGCAGATTGTCAAGGAGGGACCTTGGAATTAATTCTATAAGCGTTTATATAGGAAATCTCCGCATTGTGAGCACCCTGGTAACGTTACCAAAGGGTCCACACAGACACCTATGAAAATAAATAAACAAGGGTGAGCATAAGAAAACCAAGGCCCTTAGGGATGTCCAACCTGTGACATTGTGGTAACAGGCCATCATCTACAAATGTGTAGGGCCCAATTCATAGTTTTCTTGGGAGGCACACTTGGGAGGTTAGACTTGCTCCTAAGGGCCAGGGGAGAAGAGACCATTTTAATACATCTTAAAAATCAGGTGTTTGGTTCTACTCTTCCTTAGGGACCTACAGATGTGCATATAGCCATTTGTCTCCAAACATGTCAGTAAACCATCTGCTCTTTGGGTCTGCTTGTGATTTGCATGTGAGAACACTGAAAAAGTCCATAAATATTAAACTCCTGTTTTCCGATAATCAAATGACTGGACACTTTATTATTATTATTTTTTTTACTCATGCAAATCAGAATTAGAGAACTATTTATTTATTTACTTATTTAGCTGGCACAGGCTAGCCTCAAACTCCTGATCATGATGACCTTAAACTCCAGTTCCTTCCTGCCTCAGAGCTTCTTGAATAAAGGTCAGGGCACAAATCTTAAGTGGTCCTAGAAGATGCCTTTATTACCCATTTAGGTGGTTTTCTTTCCCTGTATTGGATCTTGCCAGAGTTTTACACATACAAATTTTGTAAGGAATTTTTATCTTTTTGTTCTTAGACATATTAAATTAATTATATGTAAATCATTTAGTTCTGGTGCATAATAAGCACTGAATACTTTTTATAAAATTACTGCAATAACATGCAAAGATAATTATGCGTGATTCTTTCAAAAATAAATATCTTTATCTCTCTGATCAAAGGAAGTAAATATTTACAAAATGCATTTTCAATGCACTTGAGAGTCTTTCAGTTTGTTTTACGTCCCTCTTCCTTATTATTTTTAAAGTACATTTATGTCCTTATGTGTTGAAGGAATAGTTGCATGGTCCACGGTATGAATGTATGTTGGCTGTAGTCTTCCAACCAACCAAGTGCTTCTAGGGCTTTAACCTAGGTCTTCAGGGTTAGGAGGAAATGGCTTATCTGCTGAGCCAACATGCTGGGCCTCTTTCAAACCTTACTATTATTATTTTTTCTTCGATCAAAAGATCCAAAACTTAGTAAAATTCAGCTTTGGGGGAATGTTTCCACCAACAAATGCGTTCATGTAAGCACTGTGGTAGTCAAGACTGAGAATAGTAACTTTACTGGCCTATAAAATACTCTTGGGGCGCTTCCCCTACAGTGCACAAGACACAGTGACCTGTTTACTGCCTTAATGATTCTGTTTGTTTTGCGTTGCTTTGTTTCAGGAGACAGGGTTTCTCTGTGTAGCCCTGGATGTCCTGGAACTCTGTCTGTAGAGCAGGCTGGCCTTGAACTCACAGAAATCCCCCTGCCTCTTACTCCCAAATGCTAGGCTTAAAGGTGTGTGCCACCACCTCCTGGCTGAAAGTTTGTTTGTTTTGTGTATTAAGACAGGGTTTCTCTGTGTAGCTCTGCTGTCCTGGAGCTTGTTCTGTAGATAAGGCTGTCATGAACTCAGAGATCCATCTGCCTCTGCCCCTGAGTGCTGGGATGAAAGGTGTTCTTTACCACCATCCTGATTCTGTATTTTTGTTTGGTTGGTTTTGTTTTTTAATTTTATTTATTTAGTTATTCACTTTACATTCCAATGTAGTCCCCTCCTTCCACTTCTCCCAGTCTCTACTCTCTCTCTCTTCCTCTTTTCCCATCCCCCCTCTCCTACTACTCTGAAAAGGGGAGACCCCACCCCACTCTACTAACCCACCCCAGCACTTCCAGTGGCAGCTGGACTGAACACTTTGTCTTTCACAGTGTCCTGGCAAGGCAGCCCCGCCAGGAACAATGATCAAAAAGCATACAACAGAGACCATGTCAGAGACAGCCTCCATTCCCTTTCTGGGAGACCCATATGCTGGATTATTTGGTATATTTAACTTCATAAATAGCTACCTCACTCTTTATATATGGCTATGCTAGTTTGCTTTCATACTAGTAATGCATGAAAGTTATAGTTCTACATGTTTTGTTTTGAGAGAGAGTCTTTATATACAATGACAGTTTGTATGCCAGACCTGGAACTCGCTGGCATCAGCATCTTGACTTCTGGGATTACAGTGTTCCTGGTATCTTTAATGATGAATGATTCTGAATATTTACCAATGTGTATTTACCATTCTTATCATTCTTCTTTGATAAAGTATATTTAATTCTGTTACTTTTTTTTTACTGAGTTTTAATTATTTTATGTTTTCTGTATACAAGATCTTTGTAAAATATGTATTGTATAAATATTATCTAGGCTGACTTTTTAGTTTTAAAATAGAAATCAGAAGTAGACTTTAAATAAGTAGACAAAAAATAAATAAAGGTCAGGTTCTTCACAACAGCAGCCCACTCTTTGCTATCAAGTTCTATATTAGTTGTTTTCCTGCTGCTGTGGTAAAATATCATGACCAAAAGTATCTTGTGGGTGAAAGAGATTATTTTGGCTTATGGTTCTAGTGGCATAAAAGTCCATCATGGCATGGCAGCAGGAAACAGCAGGCACCACAGATGGAGTAGGATGCTGAAAGCTCACATCCTCACCTTTAAACATGATGTAGAGAAGTGGAACAAAGCTTTGTCATACTTCTCATTGACATACTTCCCCTTCAGCAAGGCTGCATCACCTAAACCTCCCCACAAACCAACTACTAGGGACCAAATATTCAAATATGTGAGCCTATGGGAAATTTTCATTCAAACCACCACATATTTGTACTATATTTACAATGTTGTCTCTCCTCCTTCCAAGTGCCCAACAGTCCTTCTCAAATTCATGACCTCGTTTTCTTTATTTTTGAGGTAGGTGTGTGTGTGTGTGTGTATGTGTGTGTGTGTGTAATATACAAATATAACCTGCTGAGTCCATTTAGGATTGCCATTCCACCTTTTCAGCTTGAGTTTGCTTCAGTATTTCCATCTCTTTTTTTTTTTAACTTTTTTTAATTTTTTATTAATTACACTTTATTCATTTTGTATCCCCCCCATAAGCCCCACCCTCCTCCCCTCCCAATCCCACCCTCGTCCCCTTTCTGCATGCATGCCCCTCCCCAAGTCCACTAATAGGGGAGGTTCTCCTCTCCTTTCTGATCTTAGTCTATCAGTTCTCATCAAAAGTGGCTGCATTGTCCTCTTCTGTGGCCTGGTAAGTCTGCTCCCCCCTCAGGGGGAGGTGATCAAAGAGCAGGCCAATCAGATTATGTCAGAGGCAGTCCCTCTTCCCATTACTAGGTAACCCACTTGGACACTGAACTGCCATGGGCTACTATTTCCATCTCTTTATTGAATCCAGTTTTCAAATCTTGAATGGTCTTTGTCCATTCATTTAATCACACGTGTGTGTTCTCATGGGCATTACTTGGGCATTCATTGAGGTTCGTTTTGCTTATGTTGTCTTTAAATTCCTTGAATTGTTTGATGAAGGTTGTGATTGTTCCTTTACATTCTGTGCCCTGGGGTTCATCTGGGTATGTTTCATTAATGAACATTTCTATAGTACTGGTATAATTGAAGGGATTTTTACTGTCTTGGCATTTCATACTTGTGATGTTGCTATGAGACCTGGGCATGCAAATTTATATCATTCCTAGGTTGTGTTTCAATTCATGATATGAGTTTCTAGGCTGCCTGTTTAGAGGAATGTTATTGTTAATAAAAATTGGGCTTGGGCTATATAACGTTTATTACTTGCCCTGTGACTGTCACAGTAGTGCTATTTAACCCGCTATCACAATCGAATGAAAACCAGATACCTGTTAGATTTACAGTTGCCTTATTTATCTTGGGCTGGGTAGCTGCTGCACCTTTGTTGTCTCAGTAACCTCACCATCCACCTCCCAGCCCCCATCCAGTGCCATCCTTAGCTGAGCTACCTCCCATCCATAATCTTATAAATACTTGCTTGTAATCTTCATCTAGGCCTTTCCATAACATTTTTAGAGTCCTTCCTCCCGGCCCACGTGGTTTCTTGTCCACACTAACCCATCGTGGAGTCCTCCTTCTTCCTTTCTTCCTGTCTGTCTATCCCATGATTCTCCTGAACCCAAAGCCAGGGAACCTTAGCCACACCTACCCATTCAGCCCTGCCCAGGTTTTAGGCCTTTACCAAACATTCAGGTATATTGTCATAGGCAGGTTTATACAAACAAGGATAGGTGTATTCATGCAGTAGCCAGATCTTGAGGGCCAGTAATTAGCATTGAAATACAAGTATCCAACCAACCCCAGAATTTCCCCTTTTCTGTCTAAATAAAAGGCCAATTTTATGCAGTAAGAATAATTATTAAATAATTATAAAAACCAATAGGTAAGACTATATATATATGTAAGACTATATATATGACTATTGATATATATATATATATATGA